ACATTAATCTAGTCCAGTTTGCTAGCATTTAGTCCATATCCCTCTAAACCCTTCCTATTCATATACCCATCCAGACGCCTTTTAAATGTTCTAATTGTACCAGCCTCCACCACCTCCTCTGGCAGCTCATTCCATACATGCTCCACCTTCTGCATGAAAAAGTTGCCCCTCAGATCCCTTTTAAATCTTTCCCCTCTCACTTGAAATCTGTGCCCTCTAGTTCTGGACTCCCCACCCCCTGCCACCTCAGAAAAATGACCTTGTCTATTTACCCTATCCATGCCCCTCATAGCCCCAGCCCACTCAGCCTCTCTCTATAGCTCAAACCCGGCAACATCCTTGTAGAATCTCCAAGTTTCACAACATCTTTCCTATGGCAGGTACAACAGAATTGAATGCAGTCTTCCAAAAGTGGTCTAACCAATGTCCTGTACAGCCGCAACGTGACCTTCCAACTCCTATACTCAATGCACTGACCAATAAAGGCAAGCATATCAAACAGATTCTGCACCACCCTGTTGGATGATTGTGACAAAGAAAAATAACCACTGTCATTAGAGGCCAAGGAATGAAGTATTGTTTTCTATATCATGCTGTTTCTCCTGCGGACATCAAACTTTTAATTGTATTAATTATTAATATAATAATTCATCAGTTACATTAATTTACTGTCAGCCTGTTTCACTTTGTAGTGCATGTTATCACTGACCATTTATTTTGTTCCGTTATCTCATGAGATCTGGCAAATTGAGCTTCCAGCAAGCTACTCTTATTTACGCAACTATTAGATTTGAAATTTCTCCTCTGGTATAGATGAATAACAACTTTATTGCTAACAATATGTATAGAGCAGAGAAGAAAATAATTTGGTTTACAATTCATTTCTTAGCTGTTCCCATGGCATTATTTTGTAAACTCCAGTTTAGTGTCAGATCACATCAAGACACACTTTCAGGCACCAATCCTCTGTAACCTGTTGCCAGACTGTTTAAAGAATGGTCAAGGTTAATTTAGTGATTGAATTGTCTTTGGGCTGTATCAAGTCTATGGAAAATCATGGCTATGAACCCACAAAATACAATTTTGCACCACAATTCAAGTGTTGGATTACTCGTCATCCTAACACATTCCAAGGTATAGAGCTGTGACTTTCAAGGTTAAAGCTTCTGCTGATTTTTTCTGTCCCGCAATGCTCTCGTCTGTGTACACGTGATCTACTTTGACAGACTAGATTGCAAATATTCATATTCCATAAATGAAGATTGAGGCTAGCAGCTTCCTAAACTATGTAATAAGTGTACATGAAAAAAGTTACTTCTATAAAACAATTCATTTCATCACTCTATGGTTTTTACGAAACAAGTAAATGTAAAACTTGTATACTAAAAAGGTAATTTGAACATTCTTCAGAAATTATTAAAAGAAATGCTACCATTCTACGCAGTCCAAATGCACACTGCTAGTTGTAAAGAATTAATCTCTTTCAAATATGTTGCAATTCAGTTTAGTGCGATTTTTGCCCACTTAAGGATGCTATTTCACCTTTGATGTGTTTGGGACATAAAAAGGAAAGATAAGAAGAAACTATCCTCATCCTCCTGAAGGTAATCGTTACAACTGGGATCTGACAATCCAGTAAGTTGCTGCCGTGGAAGATGTACAACTCAATTAACTGAAAAGAAGTGAAAATCTTCATAAATTCTAAATGATTTTCTATGTATTTTGGTATAAATGATGGCCATTTCATCAAGTAGTCATATTTGACTTGAAAAGTTAACTTTCTCTCTCCACAGATTTTGCCAGATCTACTGAGTACTTCTAGCACTTTCCATTTTTATTATGGAATTACATTGCTCATTAAGATCCCTCTATACTACATTTAGGTTTGAAAATTAATTTGTATTTTGTTCTGAATAACCTGTATGGTAAATTAGAGGCCTTGGTTTACCTGAGTAAATTCATCAAATTCCGATTTCACAATATAGGACACAGGATTTATCTCGGTATTTTGGAACCATATTCTACAGTTCATTCATTTACATTGAGAGACATTGGTTTATCATGACTGAATAATCAAAATCCATCATGACGACAGAAATGAAAGTCCTTCCAAGAGGAAGCGAGTTAAATGAAAGCAGGATAAGGAACTACAGTTGCTCCTGTGAATCATCTCGTGGCAAAAACAAAGAGGCTATCTGTTTTGCCACAAATCATACACGTTTGTTGTTAACGCAATGGAGATGGAAGGGGGAAGTGATCAAGAAAAGGTACCTATAAATTGTTATTGATGTTAAACAAAAAGCTATGCTCACTTACGCTTCCTGGTGAAGGATGTGGCAATAGAACCTAATTTTCCCTTTTGAACCCTGCATAAGCAGATACTGTAAATGGTTCTCTCTCTCCTTGAAATCTACTATCATCCATGTTCTCAGAAGATCAATTCTTCACTCCATAGTCCTTGCACACCACTGTGCCTTCTCCAACCTCTCTTTCCTCTCTAAAGATCATGAAAGTGCTGCTGCCTCAAATCTATTCCCACCTTTCCATTCATGAATCCTTCCAACCAGGTTTCTGCCTTTGCTGAAACATTTATCAAACTTGCAAATGACATCCTACTTAACAAAACAAAAGTACACTAGAACAGTCAAGCCCAATCTATCTTGACCGGTGTGAAGCCTTTGACATAGCTGATCAAATCATCTTCATTTCAAGGCCTCTCCACAGTCATCCAACTGGATCAGGCTTGTCTAATCCTTTAATTATCACATAGCCAGAAACAGCTTCTTTACTTTCCAGCTCACCATTAAGTCACATGGTGCCCAGGAATCAATCTATAGCCCCCTCTTTCATCTCATGTAAATAGAGTCCCAGAGACTCAGCACAGTTTTTCACATGTACACTGACAATACCCATTTCTACCTCACCAACTCACTACTCTTCACCTGTTGCTGAATTATTTTCTGCTTATCCAGATCCAATACTTCATAAGCAAAAATTTCCTCAAAATTAAATATTTGGAAGACAGAAATCATTTATTTGCAGGCACTGCTTCAAACTCCGTTCCTCAGCTACAGACTTCACCCATCTTCCAAGCAACAGTGCAAGGTTAAGCTTGTCAGTTTGCACCCCGTGTCACATTTTACCATGAGAAAACCTTGCAATCTCATATTCTTGCACTTGGCACAAATATCTATTTCAACCTCCGTAAATGTCATCCAACTTTGTCCATTCCAGTTCATTTGCTGCTGAAAACCTCATGCATTCTTCTGTTACCCCCAGACTTGTCAATAGCAATTCATTCCTGGCTAATCTCCAGCACTCTACCGCCTGTAAACTTTATGCCAAACAAAATGCTGCTACCAAAAACAAAAAATGCTGGAAATCACAGTGGATTAAGCAGCATCCATGGAGAAAGAGCAAGCTAATGTTTCAAGTCTGGATGATTCTTCAGCAGAGCTGACGTGAAGTGTAGAAGGGGCTGCATTTATGCAATAGTGGGCGGGAGGGGTGGAGAGGTGGAGTGGTGCAGCCTTTCTACACCTTCACTCCACACTTCACATCTGCTCTGAAGAATCATCTAGACTTGAAATGTTTGCCTGTTCTCTCTCCACAGATGCTGCCTGACGTGCTGTGATTTCCAGCACATTTTGTTTTCAGTACAGATTCCAGCATCAGCAGTAATTTACTCTTAAAACTCTGCTACCCATGTCATAATTAGCAACAAGTCCTGTTCTCCCATCGACTTGGTGTTCACTGACTTACACTGGCTACCTGTTAAGCAAAATCTTAATTTTAAAATTTTCATTTTCACTTTTGAATATCTTCATCGGTTTTCCCCTCCCTATCTCTAACTTGCTCCAACCCCACAACCCACTGAGATATCTACACTCCTAATTTAAGTCTTTTGTGCATCTCATTTTTAATCAGCCATTTTTATATTGTCTAATGGCCAAATGTTGTCATTTATAATGCTGTTATGAATTGTCTTGAGATATTTTATTACATTACGGGTACTATATAAAGATGAGTTAATGTTGCTTAAGGAGATAAAAAAATGCTAAAGTTTCGAAGTTAAATATTTTGAACACCCAAATCTTGACCATTTAATAGAAACAAAGAACATATGAGGAGACCATTTAGCCGTTCAAGCCTGCTCTGCCATTCAATACGATCATGGGCTATCATTCAACTCAGTATCCTGCTCCCATTTTCTCCCTATATCCTTTGAACGCTTTAGTCCTAACAACCATATATACACATCTTTTTTACAGAAATAATACTTATGGCTCATTGATTTTCATATTAGTAAGTCATGAAAACAGAAATTGCTGGACAAACTCAGGAGATCTGGCAGCATCGGTGGAGAAAGAGTCATCATTTTCGGTCGAGTGAAGAAGGGTCACTGGATCAAAATGTTGACTCTGCTTTCTCTCCACAGATGCTGCCAGACCTCCTGGGTTTCTTCAGCAATTTCTGTTTTTGTTTCAGATTTCTGCATATGCAGTTCTTTGTTTTTTAAGCCATAAGGAATATACAGTCAAATGCACTTAAGGTGAGGCTAATTGACAATTTGAAGCAGAAGGCAGGTTAAGTGCCAGGGATTGGCATAATAAAAGTTTGCATTACTCGGAATACAATATGCAGCACACAACCAAAGTAAACTTCAGGGCTTCACACTCTACACTGGCACAAGACAATCTGCTTAGTATGTGCACCTGATCAGCCTGTCTCACATCATGACTTCTATAAAAATATGGCAAAATTAAATCTGAAAGGGTGCACATTTTAAAATTTTTAACATCATATCTATTTCAAATAATTCACTGTTATCTCAGATATTCTCTCTGCTAAGACAAAATACTGCAACAATCTTTTAAGGGATTATACACCCATGTTATCTTTGCTACAATAACATTGAAAGTTTTGCTTTACTTTGCTAATTTTTCACAAATCACTACTCCCATAACCCAATTTTAATTACATGCATCCAAAGCGCTTACGTTCTTCATAACTATTGCTGGTGTTGGATCTTTTGAGCGTCTGGATTTCCTGGGATAATATGGAAAGTCGGTCAGACTGTGTGGGTGTGTCATCTTCCTCAGGGTCAGGAGATTCTTGCATCATTTCCTCAATTTCCTCGATGACCTTATAAAGAAGGATGAAGGAAATTTTGTCACACCCATTATCATGCATACACACATAATTGCTATTGATAACCAATGGCAGTAACAGTAAAATATTTACTGCAGCAATTGGTCTAGCAACTCAGTCTTTGATACTTATACTTGGTTACTCAGCGACTTCTCCACGTCAAATCACAAACAAACATTCACAACTTTAAGAGTTTACAATATCCATGAGCTAAAGAAAGTAAATATAGTGTAAAGATACTTTCATATTATGTTAAAAGGGAGACTAGTATCATGCAGCTAGCTGAACAGGTCTTGCAAATTTTTTTCCTTTAAATTCACACTTGGGACATGGGCGCCACTGGCAGGCCAGCGAGTGGCTGGCTAGTTGCCTTTGAGAAGGCTGTGGTGGTCTGCTTGATAGAATTGCTGCAGTTTACAGAAGTTATCAGTCTGTGCCTGTTCAGTCAGTTGCTTACTTGACTACTAAGCAGCTGTAACTGTTCTCAGACAACTCAATGACAGTAGAATACAGGAGTGTTTCCAGATGCTCATATCGGGTCTTCTTTGGACCACAGGAAGAAGCAACCTCTATGTACAAACTGGCAAAGAGCTTAGAAGGAACAGCACAACTTATTTGCATCCAAGTCAGCCTTCTTGAAATATAAAAACACTTTTGCATAATTTATTCTGATAATTAAAATTTAAGCTGTTATAGTATCATACCAACTGCATAATGAACAGCAAAGTAAGAAACAGGGCTCTCTTTCCACTACCCACATCCAGAAAAGCACTGGGGAATTTCAGGGCCCAGTTTTAAAGTTTGCTAAAAACGCAACAAAATACAAACTTACATGCACCAATGCAATGCGCTTTCAGATATTTAACTCAATGAGATTTTAATAACTGGAAGTAACAAAACTGTTTTTTTGAGAATTGCATTAAATAACCACATGCCTATTTTTGTACAATGAGCAATAAATATGTAATTGAATTTATAGGAAAAATGAAACAGAATTTTATGTTAAAAGTGATTTGAGAAGACAGTACAAGCATTTTGTAACATTTATATTCAGTCTAGCTCTGTAAGAAGCCTTCTCATCTCAATCAGTTAATTGAGAGATTTAAATCCCTCTTGTAGCACAACACCGAGGAATTGCTACGTTTTCAGCAATGCTACTAAATTAAGGCTCAATGTCTGACTCATGGATGTGAGAATCCCATTATAATATTCGAAGAGGAACAATCAGCTTGACAAAATGGATAACACTTCAAATACTTCTCATGTTCATTTCTAGTCAGAGTTAGAGGGACAATTTTAATTCTCAAGAATGGATTGGTTAGTGACAGATAAGATTTGAAATCCTTTTAAATCTCAAAATTGACCACAAACCATCTACTTCTGGATTTGTAGAGCTGTGTCAGGGGAAGCAATCTACTCTTTAAAAAGTTGGTTAATCATTTTTAATTAAAAAAAGGCTGCATGTCTTATTTACTGAAATATGGTAGTTATTGCTGTAAACCAAAAAAAAAGGTTTCTGCAACAATTTATGCCAATGCTGCTGCTGGACTATAGCAATTTTGATGAAACCTGCATTGGAAGTCCAGCTGGAAAAATCTGGCAAGGCTAATTAAGAAACTTTTTGTCTGAAGATTTGTCCATTTCTCAGGTTGGAGAGGAACTTCACAGAGACAGTGACAAACTTTTGGAGTTCTTTATCTCCAGAGGCTGTGACGCTCAGTCATTGAGCATGTGCAACACAAAAACTGATACATTTCTAAAATGAATGGATATTGGGACAATGGGATATAAATTGTATGGAGGTGGATGATTAACCACGATCTGCTTGAATGGCACAGCAGATGCAACAGATTGAGCGGCACACTCCTGCTACTATTTCCCATGCTTTTCGTTTAACTGGATTTCTTTTGAATGCACAGAAATGCATTTCCTAAAGTTTGGGAATTTTGGCTCGTAAAAGGAGTAAAATGGACATAATCCAGAAGGCAAGTTATTTACAGCAGTGTTTCTGGGAGGTTAAATATGAGAATTTTACACAAGCCACTGTTCATCCAACTTCCCCACCTTCTGTAGAATCCAACTCTTCCAATCTCCTGTCCCAAGCAATTTCACACTAATGGTAAACCTACTCTTCTCTTTCCCTTACTCCCACCCCCACTGCAGCAAGGAAGTCCAGCAGGCTTCTCAGTTCATCAGGTACTTCTTCAACAAAATCCTGCCTTGTGGAGTTGGAGAAATTTGTAAGAGGTCTGGGCTACAAAGCTATGAAAACTTGCACCAACAAGAAATAAGTGCTTTTTAGGGGAATCATGGGGTGGAAGTCATCGGAAGAGGGGAAGGCTTGCATTGGTCAAACCCCTAACCATTATTCATATTCCCAGTTGGTCAAAGATGGGGCAAATGGAAGTTCCCATCCCAAACCCAGCTGGTAGGCAGACCATCCTGATTTCCTTATTGGGAAAGCAAGTATTTTTACTTGCCTTCCTAACAGGAAGGAATCAGGCTGATATTGTTTTGAGGCCTTTAAGCGGTTATTGATTGACTACATGAGGGCTTTAATGAGTGGTGGTTGAGAATGTGGCACATGGACCTTCCCACCCAGAACTTTATTAGAAGTAGTGGGAAGGTGGGGGCAGGTATCTCTCCAGTGTCAACCCACCCCATTATTTATCCTTCCCAATACCTAACCTACCTCTTAAATGGAGGGGAAAATTCCATGCATGCTCTCAGACCTGTATGTCTTTGATCTCTCATTAAACATTAGGGCTGGAGTGTTGTGGCTTGAAGGCTCAATCCAGGATTTGAAAATTGATCTAACTTGGTTATTTCAGTGTCAGGACAGAACACTGTGCTGTGGGATATATCACATACATTGAGTCATAGAGATGTACAACACAGAACAGACTCTTTGGTCCAACTTGACCATGCTGACCAGTATCCTATATAAATCTAGTCCTACTTGCCAGCATTTGACCCATACCTCTCTAAAAACTCTTCCTATTCATATACCCATCCAGATGCCTTTTAAATGTTGTAATCGTCCCAGCCTCCACCAGCTCCTCTGGCAGCTTATTCCATACACGCACCACACTCTGTATGAAAAAGTTGCCCCTCAGGTCCCTTTTAAATCTTACCCCTCTCATCTTCAACCTATGCCCTCTAGTTTTAGACTCCCCACCCTGGGCGAAAGACCTTGTCTATTCAACCCATCCATGACCCTCATGATTTTATAAACCTCTATAAGGTCACCTCTCAGCTTCCTATGCTCCAGGGAAAACAGCCCCAGCCTATTCAGCCTCTCCCTATAGCTCAAACCCTCCAACCCTGGCAACATCCTCAAATCTTTGCTGAGCCCTTTCTAGTTCCACAACATCCTTCCTACAGGAGAGAGACCAGAACTGCACGCAAAAGTGGCCGAACCAATGTCTGGTCCAACTGCAACATGACCTCCCAACTCCTATACTCAGTGCACTGACCAATAAACATAAGCATACCAAATACCTTCTTCTCACTCTGTCTACCTGCAACTCCACTTTCAAGAAATGCACAGTTGATTAGATTTAATCTGCTTGATTTTTAACTGACATAACTCATTGGGTTGGCAGAAAAAAGGCTGCAATTAATTTGCATAGATTTACTTGAACTATTTTAGTTCATAAATTCAATTTTGAGCTTACAGCAAGTTTTTTTTTTTTAAAACATTGAGTCCAGCTTTGTATTATAGTTTGGAACACTCAAATTGAAGTCACCTGTTCAGCTGTGAAGAGTGGCTCATCATTCATACAAGAGACGATAATAGAATGCATGTCCAATTGATCCCGTAGCTCCTCATCATCAGAAAGATCAAGGTTAAGGTTATCGTTCATCTAGAAAACAAAAATAAAGCCAATATTTAAATTACTTATGTCTTTTATTATGGATCGATTATAATGCAAGTCATCATTGTAGTAAGTTATTCCTTTCATTGCCTTTTATTCATTATTGACTTCTGAAGAACAAAATTACTGCAGCTAATTATTAGTCTCATTTCTGTATGTTATCCTAAATGGGTATCAACGAAGATCACAGGTGACTGCTCCACTAAAAAACACAACGCTGCTCCAAATAGTGGTTTACTGGATATACTAGGTGGTTTTCAATTTGTGCTACAAGATAAGGATTTCATTGTTCTACAAAGCAAGAGAAGGACAACAAATTCTGATGAAATAGTATCAGGAATAATTACTTCAGATTACTAGCAAAAGTTTTACAATTGGATAATATCTCTGATTTCAACTGAAATTTTCACTTTACTGGTTCACAGCATGTCGCTGGCTGATGAGATCACTAATTATATTTTGAATTGATTTGAATTAGCTTTATCGTCACATGCACTTGCATGACTGCAGTGAAAAGTTTGCAATAGTAACGCTTTGGCACCATCTTAAGTATCTATACCCAGGTACCCTGTATCTAAGTACATGTTACAGACTTGAAAGAATTGAAAATAAAAGTTCAGCATAAGAATAAAAAGAAGTTTTTGTTTTTATATAGAAAGTACTCGAATTCTAGTTTTTTCACCAAGTCCGCGCCAGCACCGAGACTTCAGGCCACCCGGGCCAAGACTCGAGAACACTCTGGGTTTGAAACCTCAAAGGCCTCGTTTCTAGTCCCCAGGGGCCTTGCTTCCACTGCACCAGTCTCAGTTCCGGGACTCACTGTCCCCATGCCAGCCTAACTTTCATCACTTTGTTCAGGTTTAGAGGTCTAATATGGAGCTATAAAAATTCCAAATTTTTCTCCAAATGATATTCCAAATTTTGAACTGTTCAGCCTCTGGTCTGCCAGTCCCACCTTTCTGCAGCTACCAACCTGCTCAAACCACACCTCCTTTCCATCTTTGATGCTCTTGCCCCATCAAAACCAACACTCTCGTTCTGTTTCTCTAGTATATCCCCCACCAGCTTCCTGAAGTTTATCGGACACAAACACAAATGGCTATTTTAAACAACTGGTTTATAATTCATCTTTGAATACAACCACAAACCCCAACTTCTCTGCTCTACTATGAGTCAACTTCTTATAAATTCATCCTCCCCACCTTGAAAAAAGGTAAGAGGATCTCATGGACCTGTCACTAAGATGCAGAATATCCATTCAGCTATTACTGCCAATTTAATTCATTCATCAACCAATCAAGCCAAACTTTCCTCAAAGCCCCACCTGAACCTAGTCATAACTTTGCATCTTTGTCTTGGTCCTCTACATCTCCTAATGTGGGAGTTCAACTTGTCCATGAGATTCATCCTCAGCTTCCTACATTCTATTTCCAACAAAGTGATTATCACCTAAAGTCATTTCTTGCTCTCCATCTTGCCTAGTACTGTTAACTCTCACTCTCCTTCCCTTCAATACCATGATCATCAACTGCCCCTTTAAAAAACAACCAATGGCCCTCCTGTCCTGGCAATTACTGCCCAATTTTCCCTTAAGTCCTTGAACACACTTTCTCAATTCCCAAATTGGTACCCAGCTTTCTCAGAACTCCATTTTGATCTCTTCCAACAGAACTGAAACAGGGGATCTTGAGGGATATGATTGACATGTACTGGGAAAGGCAAGGGCTGGTTAGAGATAATCAATATGGTTCTGTGCATGGGTAATCAGTGTCTCACTAACTTGATTGAGTTTTTTGAAGTAGTAACAAAGAGGATTGATGAGAGCACAGCAGTGGTCATGATCTATATGGACTTCAGCAAGGTGTTCAACAAGGTTCAGCATGGTAGACTGGTTAGCAAGGTTAGATCACATGGAATATGGGGAGGGCTAGCCATTTGGATACAAAGCTGTTTTGAAGATAGGAGATAAAGGGTGGTGGTGGAAGGTTGCTTTTCAGACTGGAGGCCTGTGACCAGCAGCATGCCACAAGGATTGGTTTTGGGTCCACTGCTTTTCATCATTTATATAAATTATATTGATGTGAACATAGGAGGTATGGTTAGTAAGTTTGCAGAGGACACCAAAATTGGTGGTGTAGTGGACAGCGAAGGAGGTCAGCCCAGAGTTCAACAGAACCTTGATCAGATGGGGCAATGGGCTGAGGAACATGGAGTTTAATTTGGATAAATGTGAGGTGCTGCATTTTGGAAAGGCAAATCAGGGCAGGACTTATACACTTAATGGTAAGGTCCTGGGGAACGTTGCCAAATGAAGGGACCTTTGAGTGCAGGTTCATAGCTCCTTGAAAGTGGAGTTACAGATAGATAGGATAGTGAAGAAGGCATTTGGTATGCTTGCGTTTATTGGACAGTGTATTGAGTATAGGAGTTGGGAGGTCATATTGCGGTGTGGTTAGGCCACTTTTGGAATACTGCCTTTAGGTCTCCCTACTATAGAAAGGATGATGTGAAACTTGAAAGGGTTCAGAAAAGATTTACAAGAACGTTGCCAGGGTTGGAGGGTTGGAGCTATAGGGAGAGGCTGAATAAGCTGGGGCTATTTACCTTGGAGTGTCAGAGTCTGACGGGTGACCTTAGAGAGGTTTATAAAAATCACAAGGGGCATGGATTGGGTGAGTAGCCAAAGCCTTTTCCCCAGGGTGGGGGGAGCTGAGAACTACAGGGCATAGGTTTAAGGGGAGAGGGAAAAGATCTAAAAAGGGACCTACAGGGCAACATTTTCCACAGAGAGGGTGGTGCATGTATGGAATAAGCTGCCAAAGTTAGTGATGGAGGCTGGTAAAATTACAACATTTAAAAGACATCTGGATGTGTATACAAATAGGTAGGGGTTAGAGGGATAAAATCAGCCAAACGCTGGCAAATGGGACTAGTTTAATTTAGGATATCTGGTTGGCATGGACATGTTGGACCAAAGGGTCTGTTTCCATGCTGTACAGACCTATGACTATTCCTCAAAAATCACACATAATCAGGCAATCTGATGCAAGAGCCACTTTGGCTTCACAATTCTTTTCCAATGCCTCTTCTCCGTTATCTGTTATCCAGTTGGGTGGATCTGTCACTGCCTGGTTTCGTTCCTATCTATGCAGTCACAGCCAACAAAAATCACCAATCACTTCCATCCTGCTCCTATGTTATTACCTCTCAATTCCCCAAAGATTACCTTGGTTTCCTGGAAGAACAAAAGTTGTCTCTAGCCCTCATCACAAAGTCTGTTTACTTGCTACAAACTCTGTTCCTCTTCCTGGCTACAGTCTGAGCAAGCGGGCTGCATGGCAAGCTGAAAGACTGGGGAATCGTATGTTCCTTTGGCTTTTTGCAATAACACGTTCCTGACTGTACCCACCAGCCAGGCTCAAAAAACCTGTTACACAGTGTCTAACATTAGATGTGATTATGGAATTGGACACATTTGCTGGACAAACCGGAGTGTGCAAGGCATTACACCGAAAACCAACTTAGGACCATCAGTCTGACAGGTATGCTGCACTTACGTGCACTGCAAGCTGCATATATTAATCATACACAGGGCCCTGTTTTTTACTGGCAGAAATAAAATGTACATACACTGCATCTGTTTCAATTTAACAAAATAGGCAACAGCCACTCACTGGTTCATTTCTCAAGGCAATGTCCTGACCAGAGTCAACTTGCCTTGTTTAAAATTTGAACAGGGCTTGCTACTGTCAATTAGCATTAATAGATTCAGTCTCCATAGCAATTCCTCTACCAGAGTCCACATGCCATACAATCTCTTCTCAAGCAGTACAAATGCAAGATGAAGCTTCAACAAAATGTTTTTTTCAGAACTTTCATGGTTATGTTAAAGTGTTTTTAAAACAAAATGCATATGGGCAATCATGGTACTAGTACAATATCTAAACGACAAATAAAAGTAGGTGTAGCATCAAACTTTAGGAGGTAGTGTTGAATTCATGACAGGACAAGATGGAGGTCGAGTGGTTAGTGAAGCATCGCAAATATTGTTCCATTCTGCTTGCTTTCTAAATATCCAACAATTCTGTGGTGATAAACTACTGGCAACTCAAATACACAACAGAAAATCTAACAATATAAATGTAAATTCTGATAGACGTTGTCTATCGAGAATAAAATGACGACTCCAAAACACTGACCAGACAAAAGCCAGAGAAATGGAACATCTTATTACTGCACTTCCAAGAATATAAATGTTTCCATATTTCTAGCTCATGTTCATTCTTGCAATAAATAAATCATGGTTTTCAACAATCACATATCCACAACTGAGTAAGAGATTATGCGGTTGAACCTTACTCCAGCAGCGTGGAAAGATGATAAGGCAATAATTCTGGTGTCTGAATACTGGATTGGTATCCAGTGGGATATTCATATGGGATAAGACTAGAATGGCACTCTCATATTCTACTTAATCAATTCCCCTATGTCAGGCTAGCAAATTGGTCATGTAAAAAGGGACTGTATTTACTGAAACAATTGTGAATATGCTTCATGTGAAAGCAGTAAAAATAGGCTCTCTCATTTGCCTGTAGGCACAAAAGAGGTGAAGGCTCATTTACTACAAACATATCCAGGAGAAACTTATTCCTGAATAGATGAGGAAAAAGATATTGATCTGATCTGATAATACATGGAATTACAGGTGCCCAACACTTTAATCTTCATGATCAAAAGGTGAACCTTACAGGCTGTATATGAAAAACGTTTACATAGATTGCATGCAATCAGAACACAAAAGTCAAGAAAGCACAACAAAGTCTCTATTTCACCGGGAAGCTAAGGAAATTTGGCATGTCCACAAAGACTCATCAATTTTTATAGATGCAACATAGAAAGCATCCTATCTGAATGCATCACAGTGTGGCATGGCAACTGTTCTTCCCAAGACCACAAGAAACTACAGAGAGTCGTGTACACAGCCCAGT